TTCGAGGCCTGCAATCGGGGCTCGCTCCCCGCGTCGACGATCGAAATGGCAACGATGGATATTGAATGCTGGAGGCGTCACCGATGCTCTGGACACCGTTTATCGCTCAAGCGTTTCTATTAAACATCTCAAATGCATTATGTACTCCACTTTCAATGGAGGCGTAGCTGAATCGTGTGTACACTCGAGTATAGCATGCTCAACGACGAAAACTGAATCAAGATTCGATCGCACAGGACACGATGCCAACCCCGCTATCACTTCCGCTATCGCTATCGAATTTAAATTACGCTATCGTAGAAGTGACGCCATTTCTTAAAGATTATGTTTTATTTTATTTTTATTATTAACATTCATTAAAACATTGTATTAATTTCCTAATTGTAAGAAAGTTAATGTTTCTCACTAGCGAAATGCACCGAAAATACCTGCGCACAGAGCACGCTCCGCCAATATTACCGAGAACAGCGAGAATAAAGTGTGCCGACAATTTCGATCCTTAGATGTGTCACACGACCGTTGTATTGACGCGCGTTATGCAGTGTGAATCAGCCAAAGCGCTCATATGCCGATTCGCGTTAGGTACAGTGTCATTGTACAACGCGCGTCAACCCAACCCTCGTGTGCAGGAACCCTTAATAGGGAACAGATTTTTTAGGCGATAAGGAGGTCGCTGCTTTCCGAGACAGCAGAAGCAAGCCAGCGAGAACGATTGATAAAATAGTGAGTTTTATCTGGCTCTATCTACGTAGACACGTATGAATAATGTCATCGGCACTTCTAGTGACACTTGAAGACCTCTTATGTCTATCAAAAATTTCCAGTTTGAAGGAGCGAGTGACGTTTCTACGAACTTATCCTTTGTAAAGTAGTACAGGAATTAAAGACGGACTGAAGGTGGTTTTCTGACATGCCTAAAATCTTATAGCTTGAAAACGATTCTTGATTGCCTGAAGACAATATCATGAACATAATATTTCTATTGATGAAATAATTGCCAACTGAATGTTTGGATCTCTTTTTTTATCTATTCTTATTTTATCTCTGGATTTTATTTATTTATTTACAGCTTCTTATGTACAAAATATATTTCCCTTTGCCTATTTTTTCCAATTGTTTTTATTGATTTGGTTACAAATAAAGTATTTAAATTTGAAAGAAAACAACCAAAGAAAAGTTTATTTTGTTCAACGGACATGAAAACATTTTTCTCTCTTTCTCTTTTATATATTTTTTCCCTCTTCTGTGGTATTTGTGTCATACTAAATTTAGAGTTTCTCTGAGACAAGCGCACAAAATCAGTTTAGAAAATCGTACAATCATACTGGAAGCTAACGAGTATCTCAAAATATGACGAAAAGGTAGCAGCAGGACACGCGAAATGTGAGGTGGAAGAGAACAAAAAATATGGGTGAATATTAAACAATTTACTAATTCATCCTACTATTATATTTCAACTTTTAATAGACTTATGTGATCGTAAAGGTTTGGAAAGAAATAATGTAAGTAAATAATATAATGGGATCAGAGAAAAGGAGTAAATTCGTAGCATTTGTATTCACAATTGTCAGGATCATTCAGCCTCTATATCAGCTTGACCTTCCGGGCTGATAAATTAATTATTTTATCTCATTAGTTGTTATCTAAATATTAACACATTGCTTCATATTCAATTGCTATAGAAGTTTATAATAACATATATGAATAATTCGTAATATGACACAATTTTATGGTAGTTGAACTAACTTGGAACTAAATTAGTTTCATTATCATTAAAAAATCATTTTACCGCGGTGTCATCTCTTCCAACTTAATTTTCATTGTTCAAACGGATCCTAACCATCTAAAAGGACCGTTAATTTTTCTCTCTTCTTTGACAATAAATCTCTTTTTGTACTGTCAGGTGGCTATCGAATAATGCATGAGTTGGATATTGTTAATAGGTGAGTGACATGCAGCTCTCTGATGAATGTGTTCATTTCACCTGTAAATGCGGCAGTGTTACCAGTTAGGGGGCCTGGGGATTCCTTTCTTGAGAACAATAGCTCCAATTAGACTTCAATGCTCCACAGTGGTCCCACGGGACTAGAATAGAATAATTCCATCATAATGCATTCCATTTTCCGGCGGTGAGTCGTCGATTCATTGCTTGCATTTTTAGCATACGTTTCATACTAGGTTTCGATTGCATCAACTGCGCTGTAGTTCTGGACTCTGACCTTATGTCTAAATGTACTGGTTCACAATCTCACGAACACAGTTAAAAATACTCAGTTGTATAATTTAAAGTATTTTTAATTCTCTATTAATACACACACTCGTTTGCGAGCGAGAGCCAACAGACACTCTATTAATAAACTGTACTATATTTTACATTAAAGTTTTCCTTCTAGGTACGAGTATTACAGGAAAAATACGATAAAAATTGTGATACTAATAATTGTTCTATTAAGAAATATTCAATAATATTTTTTCAAACAGTTGATCTTTAAATGTTATTCATAGACAAACGAAGGTGACTAGTAGATTAATAGAAAAATAGGTAGACATTTTTATTAAATGTATTTTAATCAGTTGATGTGTGAGCAGTGGTTTGAAATATTCTAGAATATAAGGTGGTTACATTTTTCCTCTGGATGTTTTGCCGATTTTCTTACCATAAACATTGCAGAATATCAACACATTCTGGTTTAAGTCGTCCAAAAAAAATATTGAACCTGGCTGGGCAGCAACGGCGAAAATATGAGAGAATGGGGGTAATATGAAATGCTGACATGAAAAATATGCTGAAATATAATTTTCTCTTTACCCTCATTTTGAGACATCTGAAACGCAAACGAATGTTTGTAAAGAACATAAAATATATTTGTGTCAGGGAAGGGAAAATAATATAAAAATGAAAACTTGAGATATTTTCAGAAAATTTACCCAAACGTGTAGTATATTAAAAATGTGTTATTGAATTATATTCGAATACGTTCTGAGAGCAAAATGTAATATTATAAACAATAGCATTTTTTGATTATTTATTTGTAGTCTGTAGTGATTCCTTCATTTTAAGAAAAAGCTATTGAAGCATTTGAATCATTTCTCTCTCTTTCAATATCAATATCACGGCTATATTATTTCCGATCTCTTATAATAATAAACAAATAATAAAAAATAAACACTACCTCACAGATTTATGAATAACATTAACAATAAAGTGGACTGAAAATGGCTTGGTGGAAAACACGCTAAAATGTTACTAAAATTAAGTGTTAGCAATAAATTTCTAAAGTGTAACAATGTGTTACGCCATTTATATATTTTGTCTTCCTTACACATTTCGTTCATATTTACATGTCATAAAATATTACAAACAACAATTATAATTTTCATTACAAATTAATAATAACCACATTCAGACTAATTCACAAAGACATACAATCCTTTAGTGCACTGACCTGTGCTAATAATTTATCTCTTTGTGAACTAATGTATGGGATTGCACCTTGTACGTAGTTATATTGTCTCTTTTTGTAATTGTTCTCTCCCCTTTTGATAATTCTGATGCTTTCTTTGTCGACTAATTGTCCTTTTTTTACCAGAAACCATTTCTTTCTCAACTACTAGGCAGACCTGCGTCCAATCATCACCTCATTCGTAAACACCGAATTTAGAATTTCATTTTTACTTAAGTTTTCTCAAAATACATCTCTTCATTACAATAATTCCTTTCGATCTGGCAGTTACCTCTCGTTAATTTATGAAATTAACATATTAAATTTTAAAAATAAATTAGTAATCGCGACTTCGTCGAACGTATATGGCGACTATTTTTGGACAACCCTATCTTGTCGCAATAATGCTATTCGCCTGACAGTCTACTGTTCGTCTTTTCAACTTAGCTCAATTTCTAATTTGTTTCTCTTTAGTAATTTCTACGCATCTTGTTCTTCTGTTTTCTTACTATGTACTTGTCTTCTATCTTACTATCTACTGTCTTACCTTCGCTACTCGACGTCGTTATATTTTTCTTGCATAATTTATACAGAAAATTATTTAAATAATATTTATATTCTCAACTAATTAAAATTTAATTCATCACCTATTTAAAATTGAGATGACACAGCTCGTCTCACACTATTCTTTCTTACTATTGGTAATTTTCATTGTTAAAAACAGCTAATTTTAATTCTGTCAATTGACATAAATTTTTTTTATTGATTAATTTGATAAATTTAAATTTGAAATATATTGTTTTTACTTGATTTATTTTAATAAGTATAACTGCTTTCAACTTGTATTTTTCTTGGGCCTCCATATTTACGTAAACCCATGCTAAGTTTGTTTCCTTTTTTCTTTTCTAAAAGAACTGACCGGGAAGTTCTAGGTTCCAGTTCCAGATGGTGTCAGAAATTTTGACGCTAGCTAGATGGCTAGGATGAGTTCTGTCGCAATCTGGAGGAGAATTAGAGCTGCCGACTGCTCTGATAGGTAGTTTTTCGTGGTTTCGCCGATCAAAATCAGGTGAACGCCGAAACAGTACCCTAACAAACAGGCCATTGACCGCGCGCGATCTTTCCTTCCCCTTTCCTATCCTCACATCTTACTTACACACACACTAGCATGAACTACCACACATCCCGGAAGACCAATCGGGAACTTAGATATTGTTGCGGCTGGGGCAGGGCCTTGCTGGTGGGAGATACCTGGTTGGAGAAAACCCCGTTAGCTGACGATAGGTTAGCACCGGATCTCGTCATCCAACAGGGGAAGTTCACCGCCACCTCCGGAGGAAAAAACACACACTACAGTTACGGGACTATGGGACCTTAACAGTTGACACACCTGGAATCACTAATCAATCAAATCCTTCTTCTTTTCCACAATATTGTTTAATACCAACCCTTGCGTACATACCCCCAACCCTTGCGTACATAATCGCTTCTGCTATTGGAGCCAATGTGTTCACCAACACCTCGGATTGCTCAAGTGTTTGTGTTCGTGTGTTGCAGGTGATAACGGTGCGTGGGAGCGGGGCGCGGTCTCCCCTCGCCCCCCTGCCTAACAGTTGAAGAACAAGAGAAGATGGCGTCACACACATGGGCTACCGGTGATATAGGACTTCCGCGAAAAAGTCCATCGCTACTTCCTTCCTGACTGACCACAATGTTTGTAGAATGTATGGACAAATATCCACAAGTGTAGGTTTCATATTTAATGTCTTGCTTAGAGTCGTTAGACATGTCTGTCAAATGTTGCTGAAGCCAACTTTATCATTAGATTTTTTTATTACCGATAATGGTATATTCTCAATACACTAAAAGTGAACATTTTAGAGACTTAAGCAAATGAGAAGTTCATTTATTCTAGCTGACATAATCTGTACGTGCTGATAAGCTTAATAACGGCGAATAAAAAATCTTCCTCTTAGTTACATTCTAATCTCTACAAATCGTATTCACCCATTTAATTAACAAGGTTCTAATTAATCCGCGGTGATATTTCTGACACATTTCCACATATTGACATTTAAAACTCTTAGAATTATATTATTATTTCAACAACGTTATTGCATTTGTGAATATTTTTAATGTTAAAATGTTTGATAAAATATTATTCAAGTAATGTGTCAAATGTTAACGGTAGAGCCTCTATAACATTGTTCAGCATTTAAGAAAATTTTATGGAAAATGAAATGTGATTACATCTCGATATTATAAATTTTCGTCTACTTAGAATGCGACTCTTATATAAATGTATGAAAGGAGACTTTTTTACCAATTTATCCTGAAAATCTCGGCGTGTGTGTTTATTTTCAAAAATAGTGAAATTTACGTAACTAAAATTTGCTAAGTATTGTTTTAGATACCGTGAAACGAAATATGACAGTTAAATGAATCAAAGTCAATTAAACTCATACTTCTTGCATGGAGAAGTCTGTCAGTTAAATATCAAAATTATATTAGTTTCGGATTATCAGATTTTTAAACAAAAAAATGTTTAACAAACAGTGACTTAAATTATCGTAAATATTATTAGAAGCTTTTAAACATGACTAATTAATATGATCATATATCCATATCATTGTGCTCTTGTAAATGAAACGATGATAGACGACAAGAGAAAATGAATATTGTGGCGATATCATTAGCATAATAGCAGAGGCGGCTGCAAGCTTTCGGGTTTAGATTTACAATAATGTTCTATTAAACAAGTGATTGTAATATATGTTCCTCGTACCTGTATCTGTGTTATGGCTCTTGTAGTGCCATTGCAAATTGTATGTGTGTGACCCCTGCATATGTATTTATAAAAATATTTAATAAACATCCTGAAAATTATTATTGCTTGTTTATTCATTATTCTAATTGTGATCTACTGTGAAAGCATTTGCACCATTGATTCCAACTATAAAAGGATATAACACAATATACAGTATATAAGGATAAAAAACTAAAACATTTTTGGTCAATGGTCAGTAATAGTTCTTTTATGCACCAAGAGAGTTATAAGTGTTCTAATGATCAAGTGACGAAAAAATGTTTACAATTTTAGTAATTAACTAGATGTTAACTTGACTTGGTTTGTCTTTTTATGTCTCCCTCTCATAATTATCATCATTATATCTCGTGTGTAGGATATTTATACTGGTATCTTCCTCCACAACAGAATATGTAGCACCATTCAATTGTGTTCATTCTCTCCTCATAACCACGATCCTGTCGATCCAGGTAAGTTATGCAGTGTATATTGAATTCCGTATCAAAGCAATAACTATCAATGACGTATCAGTAAACAAGAAAAAGATATATGCATTTATAGGTACATAAGTATTTTTATATTAGGTGATTTAGTTTTACCTCCTTAAAAGAAAGTAATTCGCCAGGATACTTTTGTTTGTTTAAATCTAGGTCTTAGAAACCTGTCGCGAGCTCTGCCGTGTTAATACCTGGTAAGAAAATGGATAGTTATACATTAAAAAAAAGGTGTAAATATATTTGTAAATCACTAGTACAAACGACCGTTTTAGTCGCAAGAAGTCGTTCATGAAATGGTATGTTACGGCACGGATTATGACGTACAAGCCGTTTATGGCACGAATAATTGCTTCATCCGACATTCGCAACGGGGGAATTGCGCTTGACCTGTAGTTCGTCGTTGATGGTACTTCACCGGCACGCGTCTGCAGTAGACCTGATAAAACGACTGAAACAACCCATCCGGGCTGCAGACCTCTAGAATTCTCTTCTAGGTAGTATCAAAACACGACCACGTTTCACTCAACGGCGTGAAAACACAACACTTCAGTTCAGCAGAATAGCATGCTTCAAACCGGAAATTGAAGTTTCGCGAGCAATTATTATTGCTATATAGTTCTTGCAGTAATGTTTTTCGTGACGCTGAATCGAAGCATGCCGGTGAGATTACTTCTAGGCTGTCCGGGTGACGCCG